ATGCTTACTGCGAGTTTACTAATTCTTATTGTGTTACTAACCTTTTGGTTTCTGTATTGTTAGCAACGAGCAGTTCACGCTTTCCGTGACAGTCAGCGCGGGTTTCAGTATGTGCTGGGGATGAAACCGAATTGTTGTATCAAATGCTTCCCTGTGTCTATGGGCCACCCAAAAAGAGGTACAATTTTCTGTATGTTTGGGCACCGTCAACTGATGTCATGCATATATTGATGTAATCAGATCAAAGATAAAGTAACCAGGTGACTGCTAATTAGATATAGATTGGAAAGAAAATAGAGTAAAGAAGAGATAAATACAATTTATCTGAGAAAATCGAAAGTTAAATAAAAAGCTATGAAGCAATAAAATTATAGATATAGGATTACCCGTATATGGAAAATGAACTATAATGGTTCGACTGAATATGAAAAAGCCATGCGCTTCTTGGAGATAGGTTGCAATTTAAGAATGGCAAGAGTTTAGATAAACCTTATACTATGTATTGACGAGGAGCTGATGCCAGTATTATTGGAAAAAATTATGTTCTAGATGGTGGAAGTGCAAGTATTCTTAAAGTTCCTTTTGATTTTGAAGAAAAGCACTTAACTTGGGCAAATGGTCAAATACCCGAATTTTTTTGACAGGTTTATGATAAAGATGGTGCAATTACTTGAGGAGTTTATGATGAAGTAATGGGTGAAGATGGTATTGCAGGTAGTGAAAAAATTCGCAAAGAAGAAATTACTGTTTATGAGAAAAAATTAAGTAGTGAACATCATCAATGTTTCATCGCTTTATTCTTAGAAGTAATTATAGGAGTTATGTTAAGAGTTTAGTCAAAAATGGCACAGATGCCACTGGAAAAAAATGATTAAAGATGATAAATATAATTTAGTTGAAAAAGAATTGGACAGAGTTGCTAATAATAAATAAAGTGCTATGAAATCTCTTGCAATTTTCAGAGATAGTGCAAGAGCAGTGGAAATTGATGAGCCAAAAAAAAAGAGCAATTGGTTTTAATTCAAATCAGATAAAATGGCTTGCTACTAAATATAAAAAAAATTAACAAAATTACTGATTCAATAATTAATTTATGAAATGAATGAGCAACAGATGCTGATACTGTATTGGAGAATTTAAAAGGAGAAAGTGCTAAGTTAGGTAAGAAAGTTGATGAATTAAGAGAAATTAGTGCTAAACAAATCAAAGTCAATGATGAAAAACAAGCTGCAGAGAAATTAAAGGAAGACACTAAAAAATTACGGGTAAGTGGTTTAATTACTCAATTCAAGACCTTTCAGGATAAGCCAGGCAAAAGAAGTTATCGAGAATTATTATTTGTGCACAATATTTTGGGCTGGATTAAAAAGTGAGAAGTTTTAAAAAGTGAGAAGTTTTAAAAACTGATGCTACTTTTAATCCTAATGTGGAGATAGCCGCTTTAGATGCCGCGGAAACCATTAATCAAGATAAACTAGTTAAATATAAAAATCGAGTCAAACATGGTACTCATTTTACTGAACGATTAGAAAAATGAAAAAATGTTGATGGTAAATACTTTAATGAAGAAGCAGTAAGAAATTATTTAAGCAGTATCAAAGATGCTTTGGAATCAGTAGAACGTAGTTTAGATCCAGTGGAAAAAAATGAATTAGATCAAATTGATCAATATCTTAAGCATGGTCCAGTTCCCTTCGAAAGGAGAATTCTACCCATGGAATTGAAAGCAGCCTTAGGAGTGAAAACTAATGTGTTTCAGGATTTAACTAAAAAATGAATCAATTATTCCCAAAATATTGATTTTAAAATCAGGGCTGATAAAATTAAAGAACTGGCTGATAAAGTTAATAAAACCAGATCTAAAATCGAAGCTCTAGTAATTGACTGTTGTAAAAAAACTCTTTCTAAAAAACCTGAATTAATAGATGATACTTATAATCTTCCAAATGCCAATGTACAATGCCAACAATCGAGATTGATTAGATTGATTCTTTACCCAAGACCCTGAAATAGTGGGGGAAACAATTGCTGTACAGGAAATCAAAGCAGATAGTAATCTCAAAAAACAAATCCTGAAAGAGATGGAAGATTATAAAGATGGTGACAAAAGGCTAGATAAATCTAAATATTAATATGGGGATGGGAAAGAATTTACTGAAGAAGGAATTGTTAAGTATTATGCAGAAAAGTTAGGTGGACAAAATCATGCTAAGAAGCGATATGAAAAGCCTTCTGAGGATAATAAACAAGAAGGTTTCTGAAGAATTAATAATCCTTCTGCTTGAGTGGAGGAATTCTTTTAGTACTAAGTAGTCTTGGTTGAGCCATCTGGAAAAGAAAACTCCTGGCTCAATGATGAAACTCCCCTGCTGAACTAGAAGAAGAGGATGAGGATGAGGAGGATGATTAATAATAATTTGATTGTTTATTCTGCCAGTCTTTTTTTCTTTTTTGGTTCATCATGTGTTAGTGTCAGTGTTAATGCTCGTTTATTAATTATAATTTTCTTTTCCTCTTGATAAATTTCATAAGTAATTTTTTCTTGATCTAGATACTCCTGGAGAGTTTGGGTATCATTGATTTTAAAAACGTATGGAGCAATTTTTTCTCCTTGAACTTTTTTCAGAATACTTCTAATAGTGCTGTAATTCTTTGGTTCCATGGTGGATTTAATGTAAATTAGTTTTATATATTTTATTTTTATATAAAGGTAATCCTATATTGCTCCTGTTATGGTTTATATTCCTCACCTTCTGGTATAATAAAGTGAGAATTAAAATTAACAACTCCATAAGTTATGAATGAGCACTATTATTCTTTTCAAAATATCATTATAATTAGTCAAATTAGTCAAATTAAGAAATTATTATTATAGCAAGTTTGGCAGGTTGTAAATTAGGTTGCACCCAGATGTACTCAAACAGCAAATGATAATAAGATAGTCTGAAGGCATTCCACCAGTTTTCGACCCCTAGGGTTTTATGGATGTCAATGGATGCCTCTTATATATATTTTTAATGACTATAGAAATCGGTGCCTATATTAATGTAAAACACATAGCAAATTAGGGTTACCTCTTGTTCTTTAGTTAAGATCGAGTCCACCCATATTAATATGTGATCAATAAAGGACTCAAAATTTCATTAGTCAAATTAGTTAACTTTCAGCCACACAAGCCTCTTATTTAAGAATGTTCACTTTGTTTGGTTTTGTTGCAGTCTGCCCCAGATAATACAGAAAAACATGATGTGAGAAAATCTAAATTTAACAATCAGATCCAATGCACCCAAATGTAAATACGTAGTTAGCTTGATATCTAGCAATAATGATTGGCGTGGGATATATAATAAAGAAGACGCTTGATGGGTACTTTATCAGTACAGAAATTAGTTGGGGAATGGTTTATTCATATGAGCGTGCTTATAAATAGATTCACATTGCAGATATCAATTTTTAGTCTACGCTTCGCATTTAACATCTCGGCGAAATATTTCTCGATAAGTCGGATGACATATATAAATTCTCGTTAAGTGTTAGCCAGCCACCAGCCAGCCAGACAGCCAGACAGCCTACTCTGTAATATACCGCGGTCGGATCCCACGTGATTGTGTAAGTAGTTTTACAACGATTCGAACACTGGACAGTTTTACAAAAAAGTGCCTGATTTTCGATTATTTGTATTTTATGTTACTTCATAGTATTATCAGAATTATACAGGTTTAATTTTAAATTATAAATTACTGTTTTATTATTGAGCTATATTAAGAGTGAGTTCTGACTTATAACATGATGTCAAAGTTGATATTACGCGAGGGTCAGGGTCAGGGTCAGGAATTCGTCTTGTAACCAATATTGCCAATAGGGTATTGTAATAGTGTTGTCTGGCCGTAAGACGAATAAGAAAGTAAAAAAGTGCTTAATGTTTATCGTTTTGCCCTTCGATTAAACGATCGTTGTGGCTCATCATTCTTGATGTTACAAGCCCATCTCATTAATTTTATCCAACATAGACACGCAATACCAGGCGAAACTGTACGAGTCAGTAGCTAAATTGTCAGGAAGAGATTCACGGTTTCGCGTGCTATCTTTTTCAAGACCCCTCAAGAAGCTTACCTATTACCAAAGCAATCTGATGTAGTGAGACTTCCGAGAAGGCCTGAATGGTAAACTCGCGACTCTGGTACGTAGAACTTCTCCACATTCACATGATTCAATGCGATCTGTATTCTTCTCGCCAGCCAATCCCATATCTCGAACCCACAATGCATCTGTGGTGTAACAACACTCATACATTGAATTACGCACAGTCGATTATTTAGTAGAGATTAAGTATATATATCTTAATATTAATATGCTTCGGCGTTTTTTATGATTTGGCCAAGCCACAGTAATAAAGTAGAAAAATAGAGAAAGAATCGTAACAAAAAGTTATAGAAAAAATTTTTTTTTAGATAATCATAGAACTCAAAAAAAATTGGCAGACAATCTCCCAAAATTATCATACAATGTTAAACGAGAGGTAACGGTTTTAACAGTTATAGCTGCCTGTCTTTATATCAATTCTTTCGTGACTACCAATTCTCTTATGTGACCTTAGTGTATCCGCACATCCACAAGCAACCAATTCACACAATAAGAAAAAACAGCGAAACTATCCAAACCAAAGCGTTCAGCAGTCACCACAGATATCTGACGAGCAACGCCATGAGATTAAAGAAGCATTTGAATTGTTTGATACGGATCAAGATAGCGCACTGGATTATCATGAACTAAAGGTTTGAAAGATCAATTAAAGAGAATGTGTGCCTTCCATTTAACCGTTTACGGTGTTTGTCGTGAATTGGGTCACATATATGGGTTTACCTAGGCTCTGTCGGTGCTTTCCAAGTTCATTATAAGGAGATGCGAATATATTTAACACTGTTTATTACTCTTCCTTTAAAAAGAATGCAATGAGAGCACTGGGATTCGATGAGAAAAAGGCAGATGTTCTCAGATTGCTAAAAGAATACGACAGAAACAATGAGGGGCTAATGGTATTCGAAGACTTTAATAAAGTCAGTGAGTATTCTAACCAAGAAAGTTTTGAATAAAAAAAAAGAGATACATCTACGTTTTTCAATTTGTGATTTCCCTTGCAGCGCTCTCCTCCATGCTAGTATCTGCTTGTCTTTTCACAATTACTGATTGTTAACCCGCTCTTTGATCTAGTGTCTGAACGGATAGCGGCTCGGTCGCCGTTAGAAGAAATTCGTCGGGCATTTGAATTATTTGATGACGATAATACTGGCAAAATATCATTAAGAAATCTACGGAGGGTGGCTAGAGAACTAGGAGAGAATATTGATGACGAGGAATTGAAGGCCATGTTGGACGAGTTCGATTTGGATGAAGATGGAGAAAGTATCCTTTTTGTCTGATCGGTGGATAAGCGTGGTGGAGAAGGGAGCTGTCGATAGACGAGAATTTACGGTGTTGGTGAAATCACTTTGTAGAAACAACAGAGCTCATCTGTGAAATTCGATCCCGAAGGTCAATTGTCCTGAGCTGCTTGAAAATTTCTTTTGTAGTAAACGAAGAAGAATTTATCAGGATCATGACCGATGATAGTTAAAGGATTTTTCTCATTGCATCTAAGACAAGATAGTAGAGCCTAAGTCGGAAGATCGTACAGGTAGAGCTTTGATTAAATTTAACCGGGAGCCCATTGACGCTCTGTCATATGTGTATTCCCTTCCTGTTATGTGCATCGGCAGCTCTTACTACTGTCATAACCATCTAATTACCGCTGCGTTTTCTTATCATTTTTAAACTTCTCGTTCACGTAAACTACAACACGGAAGATCAAAATTATATATAGTAAAGTATAGAATTTATCTGGTTGGGAATATTTTGATAGCGCAGAGTTTTCGAAAAAAAAAAGGTATTCAATAGACCATTAAACAGTTGTGGGAATTAAGATTCGGGGATAATAATCCCTGATGTTTATATTATTACAAAATGGGGTAAATAAAATGAATAACGTACCGCATGAGATACCGGTCTGTCTCCTGCACTCGACATTATGGAGTTTGCAATTGCGAGATATATTGCTAGTTCTGATTTCTATAACGTCTGTACATACAGATTGTTGAGATAAGCCAAAAGATGTAAAATCTTTATTGACAAACTACATGAATTCAACAAGTCAGATTTATAATGGGTGGGATTTACTCATACACTCGATGGACAAAAGTTTGAATCCATGACAATCCATGACAGTTATTTCAGAAATTTTACTAAACCAAATATTAATAGAATTCATGAAAGTATACTTTTCTTCTATTTATTCGTTACGACTGTATTTCGTTAAAATTGCAAGACTAAAAGTTGCGCAATACCAACCATTTTATTTAGTATGCTGAAAAGGAAATTTGAAAACTTTTCATTATTGTTGGCCAACCATTATTTAGCAACAATTTTCGAGGCGTCTATCAATCAAATTTAACGCGTATTTAACAGAATTTGTTGCCATATTGCTTTAACAAAGTCTCCGACTCGCGTAGACTCGCAACCACTTCTTCTTTTGCTTATGAGTTTCCATAACGTCGTATAGTAGTTTTAACAGTTCCAACGGGAAGATTGAGCAGTTTGCTCATGTTTTGCATTGTAGGACCGTCCACCCTATTCTTTGAGCTCGCTCGGCTATTAATTTTCGTAATTCTTCTCGCCATGATCTTTTCTCTCCTTTTCTACTACCACCCAAGATGCTATCAATTGCAAGGTTCTGGGTTTGGGATTTATTCTCTGTTTGTAAAAGTTCTCCACTGTGGGAGCTCCAATGCTACCTTTTCCAAGATCTTTGATCTCATTCTTAACCTTGAGATACATTTTGGACATACTGATGCTATCCAATTTTCTCTTGCATCAAACCCATTATTATTCCAGACCGTTAGAACATTTTCTTCATACAATTTGGTTGGTTCAAGCATTTGATGTTTTTTGTGTGGTTTGAGCAATTTGCAGAGGCTTTTTTTATTAACATTGAGTTTGTCAACTACCACATTATGTGCAGCAGTTTGTTGGTGGTTATTGATATGTGAAAGAAGCATGCAATAGTCAAAATTACATGTAAACTGTTCTTGGTTGTGAGCACACAAGCAAGGAAGAGCAAAAGCATGAAAACTTCTGCAACTGTGTAAAGAAATGTCTGCAAATAAAATGTGAAAGTCTCTTGTTTAAGACTCTCTACATATTTTCCGTCATAACCCTCTGTATAGTAATAAAGTGCAGCAATGTCTTCTGATTAAAATCTCCAGCTCAATTGAGTACTACATATTAATAATATACAGTCAACTCTCTCTAAATAAAATGCAATTCCATTTCCCACCCTTCTAAATGCACGGTCGTTATTTCCATGTAATTTGTATTATTCGTTGCGTTTGATGTATTGGATTCTAATTTGATCACAAAGAGCGATGTTATTATTTTAACGATCGGATAAATTTAATGTCGACAAAGAAGCCAACCGATAGTTATTGTCAACGATGCTGCAAACGGCTTAGAAACTGTTTGTTTATTTCTGTAGTAACAACAAGAGTCTAAGAGTTGTGTGGAGAATTGCATTTGTGTTTAAACGTAATAAAGCGGAGGACGATAGATGATTGTTTAGCACTTTGATTGAATAAACATATCACGATGCGTGCGGCCAATAAAATTCTCTCTGAAATTAAATCCCTCTCTAAATGCACGTTTTTGGGTCGTGAGTCGAATGTATATATTCGGATAATTTGCTGTAAAGAAGAAAAGATTATGGGACTGCTTTTTTCGTCATTAACTCTGATCTTTCTAATTTCTCATACTTTATTTTTTTTCCGGCGGAGAAAAGTCACTTTGCATCTGGTAGACATCTCGCGACAACTAATATCAATACTGTCATTGGCTTACTTTCGACGAGTTTTGCAAGCCACACATTAGGAACCTTTCACAAAATTTGCATCAATAAATAAAATTGTCAACATTATCCACACGTTTGTGCTGGTTATTTAGGTAACGGATGTTGCTGAAGGTGTGAGGGAAGACCATTAAGACAGTGACTTAATTGGTTTTGTGTTTAAAAAGTCGGTAATATTATAATAAGTAAGAATCTGAGTTTAATTTGAGACATGCTAACGTTCTTTTTTATCGTCTATAAATTTAGCTTATTTTATTAAAAATTACATTTTGCCATTAACGAGCTCTTTTAGTACACAAACGTTAATTATAAAATGTGAGATGACAATGTCGGTTAATTATTAGTTATTGAGTTTAATATCTGCGGCAAACAAAGATAAACTTTACACGATGCGAGACAGTGTACTTATATTTGTCACAAATAATACTGTAATAAGTAATTTATTGTCCACTGTTAAAACAAAAGTAGAGCCTGTTGCTATTACTATACATTTTAGTTAATCCGTTAATTAATTGGTGTAACAATACAAAATATCACCACGCTTTGGTTTGTCATTGTTTGGCCATTATGTAACATTAATTCCTATTTGTTTGTTATACGAAATCACATGAAATCACGGACAGATCAGTACATCGTATTGCCCGAATCCCACATCCAAATTAGATAGTTGATATTAATATTAATGTAAATGCATCTTTCATACGATTACACGAAAACCAAAAGATCCAAGAGTGATTAATAAAAGTTCAAATTGGTTCCCAATATTTGAATCACTTGCGGAGAGAAAAAGTCTTGGTAATCTGCGCTTTGTCGTGTAATTACGATTGGAAAAATAAGATTTTACCGTGATCGAACTCTTAGTATTAGATTTAAATGGTTAGGAAATTCCGATGATGAACAAAACTTATTCGTGGGTAAACGGGATGTTATTATAACTGTGTTAAAAGTTTTGCATCGAATTTTAGTAGTCGGCTACTTCAGACGTTGCGACTGTGTCGACTATGAAGAACTCTCAACTTTGGCGTTTCCAACATTAGGCCGATGTCCTACCTTTATCTGTTAAATTTGATATGATAATACAACGATATCAATCAACCATATTGGATAAAGCTAATCTATAACAAACATGCATGTAGCGTGACTTATAGCTAGATGTATCCTGTCGATTTTGACAATAGTTCACACAACATATTGATATTGACAACCGAAGAAGGTAACCAATATCCTACTTAGTATAGTATGCCTGGTTTACACGAGTCTAACAAGGGCCATGATAACAAGGAATGCTATAATAATAGCGATTACAGAAATCCTTAGCTGAACATAGGAATAACACTATATGAGAGATAAGAAACAAGATTAATTAATGTCGACAAATTGTCAGATGCGTTTGTTAAGTAACGGTCATAATTGCAAAAATAAATTTATTAATAAGTAAATATCATTTATGTTAAGTAGTAGTAGTCACTAGGAAGCTGACTAGCATCTCTTACACACTTGCGGAATCATATTTAATTTTGGAATCGCCAACGAAATTTACAATCAGCATAATGACATATGTAATTATGAGAAATAATAATACGGCTTCCGAAAATATATAAAAAATGATAATATAGCATGTTATCCTCTTCAAAAATGAAAAAACGGTTTGAGACTTTGAATTAGTTAAGGAATCATAATAGTCTATATTTGAATGCATAAATAAATGCACCTACAATGACGCAGCATGTCAAGTCAGGCACTGTATGTCTATCCCGAGGTTGAACACGAATCGGCCCATAGACTCTATTCGTTTCATGTATGACGACAGATTGTAAACATATTGTCGCTTATATACTATATTTACCAAACTTAATGTGTATATGCTATAAAGCCTTCTTCCTTCATTTTTTCGGTGGTTGAATGCCCACCTACAAGGCCAATATTGGACTCGACAAATTTGTCTAACAATACACGACACGAGAATGCCGACACTACTATGTACCTTCCAGTCTATTGTCACAAAAAAAGGAATTAGTTTAATGTTACTGTTTTACAAGATATTCAGAGAATCAAAAACATCAAGTTTGTAGAATACTGAACCGCATGCTACACAAGAAGGAACTTAAAAGATGCATGTACCAAAAAAGGTCATGTCTCATACTTAAATATTCGTGTAATGAAACGTATATACAGTATTAGTATTCCTGAAATATTCCGCTTGATTAAAAGATGTGAGAACATGAAGATCAAATGCTTTATCTTCTTTGAAGATTAAACGTAGCTACTTTTCTTATGAATGATGGACAAGCAGAAAGAAATCACACTTTGTTTTCTTGATCAATTTGATGCATAGAATGTCAAAACAGTGCATGTATGCTTGGCATTTTTAATCAATGATATTTAATGATATGTATGCTTGGCATGTTTAATAAATGACATTTATTAGATATGTATGCTTGGCATTTGTTTAATAAATGATATGTAAATAGCATGGACAAGTTAATAATAAATGTTATGATCATATATAAGGTTAAATATTAATATGATCAAATATTCATCAATCTCCGTATACTATATATGTTAATTATCGCCCCCAGGGTAAATTAAAACTTTTGAAAGGCAAGAGTATAACAAGTTAGTATATTAATGTTCCTGTATAAACGCATCCCTGAGAGATTGTGTAGGCATTCAACAGGATGACACTTCCCGAATAGTACTGGTCTGTTCGTTCGTTTTGCTTTGATTCATCTTCGGTTTACGTAAGAGTTACTAAATTAGTTCGATGGTTATTTAATTTGGTAGGGGATTAACAATGTCAAGCCCCTCCCCCCCATTTTGTCGGAACAAAGGAGAAAAGTAAGGGAAAAGATATAAAATAATAAAATCTATTAAAAAATATTGCACCGAGCACGCAGAGAGAATGTATGCACATGAAATAGTATATTAGAGGATACACGACAGATAGGTTAATTAATATTTCTTACGACATTGACAACATTAGCAAACACATCGAATAGACTTCATCATATTTTACCAATTACCGACAACCTTGAACCCGTCTACGAACCTGTATGCGCATTCCGGCACAACCCCCTTTCTATATTCATCTGACTTCGTCACACCAAAAATATCCAATCCAAGCAATATTACCCCATCGTTAACAAAGTGTTCAGTGACCTTTCAACAAAATACTTCAATTTTTGTAAAGTCGTATACAACGCCTATCAACACCTTTCGAACTCTTAACTATTTCTTCTGTTAATAATATTGCTCCCTTCTCTTCCAGCCGGTGTGACTGTCTAAAATTCATATACGCACACCAGGATGGCCGCAGCCCAACCGAAAACACCTCAAACGCCTTTACTGTTTGGTCTTTCTATGACTGACATGAACAACACACTGACTGTCAATGCTCCTAAGCAAGCGGCCTCTTCACTTCCTAACTCGCCGTCGGTGTTGGGTCAAATGTACCCTAAGCACAACGAGAATGGATTTTTGAACATACCAAGTATCATAACCTCAAGAGAGGGAGGGAATATGAGCGTAAACAGCCTGAGTCATAATACTATGCATAACAGTGGTATGGCTAGCAGTGTAACAGAGTCTTTCACTCTCCTCGGTAACGAAGCCGGAAAGAACCAAATACACCAAGCGATCTCTGCTCCTGTGACGCCCACCAGCAGTGGATTCGGCCAGCCTCCGAGAAGAGGAGGTAAAGGGAATGGAATGAATAATGGCAATGGAAACAACTCTAATAATGGCAATAATAACGATGGAAAGCCTACTGGACCAAAGAGTAAGTATTGAATTTTAAGTATATTAGGTTCAACGGATAAGGGAACGGGGTCATAGTCGTCGACGATTTATGTGGTTTGAAGGCGGTCGCTACAATGTTGGGCATCGGGGAAATATTTGCCTTTGGACTTGACCATCGTCAATCTCGTCAGCAATTCGTTATTGATAAATTACGCGTCCTAAAGAATGGACTACAAAATAATCAAGATGGAAAAAACGATATTTATTCCTACAGTGTTGTTATAATCTATGCCTATGAAATTGAAAGATTACATAAGCATTTCAAAGCGCAATATTTTTCAGGCGCTCTTTCCTGGCATTGATATGTTACTTTAATACGGGATGGGGGAAATTTTGCGTTGACATGGTTCCCAGCAAGGACCGTTCGCTACATCGCCCTTTCTTGAACTAGTGTTTGTAATAGCGATTACAAGAGAAATTGTAATTACGGATTTAGTGTATTTTTTCCGTTATGAGCGATACCTTTTCTCAAGGGGTGAAATTTTCCAATCGATTCCTTCCATGAGGCATTCTTATTTGACAAGTGTCATGAATACTGAGAGTTGCTGAGCAAGAATCATGAATTAGCACATTCGATCAAGTTTGACTATCTGTTGATCTATTCACCATTCATCATTTCAATGTGCGCGATTTTCTGATACTCATTTCAATTCTCTTTTCTTTTTCTTTTCTCTTTCTCCCTTCATTATTCCCTTGCTCTACTACAGGTAATAGTAATCTAGCCCATATCCCTTGCAAATTCTACAAAAGCGGCGCATGCACTGCTGGCAAGAACTGCGTCTTCTCTCACGATAAAAACCCGTCGCCCGACAACTATGTCTGTAAATATTACATAAAAGGCAACTGCAAATTTGGATCAAAATGTGCGCTATCGCATGCTAATCCTACTGATAGAAAAAACCCTCGATCCAATAAACAACAAGCCCAGAACATATCCCGTCTTAATGGCAACAACAATAACAACAATAGCAATAACAGTAACAACAATAACAATAACAGCAATAACGGTCATAACAACACAAACAACACAAACGGTAATTCAAACAACACCAATGGCATTACCGTTGGAATTAACACTATGATGGCTAACAGCAACATCCCGGAAATCAGATCACCATCAATGCCTCCAAATGGATATTCAGACAACGACTTTCCACCAATGAATTCACCCAGTTCGTTTTCTCGCATTCCTATAGTCAACGGCGAATTCTCAGCTATTCGCAGTCAACTGACGGCGTCACTGTCATCGTATCCAGAAGACATGAACGTGCGAACACCAGTTTCACCTCAGTTTGGAGATCATCTGACCGCTCCTATGCAGATACATGCCCATCGACGCTCGCTTCCCGATATCTTTCGTTATCCTCAAGAGGCATATGGCACCAGCCCGTATCAATTATCAAAGCCGCATTACATTCCTGTTTCAATGACTCCTGAGAATAACCTCTTGTCCCCAACTATGAACGGACCGCTGCAGAGCATTCCCGAGAACTGTGCTCAACATGATGACGTCGTGGATGATAATACTCTGTTTGAATACGACTTTCTGCCATCGTCGCTGAACGATCTGTTGACACCGTTGGAAAGAGAAAGGAGAAGAAGCAGACAAGAAGAAACGTTCGAGACTTCACGTCGTATATTCCCGCCCAATTTACAACCTGTTCCGGTTGATACGCATAAAATTATGTACAACAATAACATCGACCCATCTCACATCCATATCGTCGGTCGATCGCTACCACACGGAGTAAGTATCGGACTTGCTGCAAACTATCTACCCAACAATGCCGACTCGACTCACTTGTCGCCAACTGCTCAGTACGATTTCAATCCGACGATTCGATCTCCTACTTCTCCGTCTCCCACCATGAATCCGTTTTCGCCAAGCGATACTTGGCACCTTCCAAACCCGTTTACCTTGCCCGACCCCCGGTCGCATAGCTATTCGACTCCTGCTATAAATATCCCATCACATGATGTTTATTCGCCTACGTCACCAATATTTCATGACCCAGTTAAAAATCAAAAAAATGGAGGCAACGGTTTAGGAAGAATGCGCACCCCTGATCCATTCACGACGGCTACTCCTTTCTCTCCCGACGACGATGTCCAATTCCAATTTTACATGGAGGAAGACAAAGGAGAATTAGGAGAAGCTGTGCATAGTGGAGAAGGTGCTTTTGAAGGCAAGGACGGTGCTAATAATGTCGAACATGGTAGCGTGAACACGAACGGAACTGCGACTGCAACCGGAAGTGAGACAACAGAACAAGACGAGTCGTCTAAACAACGGCTAAGCTATTCAGATATTACTAAAACAGGAATCAAAGATTCCGGTGCTGCTGGAGGTATTAGTATTGACTCTCGCAGATATGAGCCGGTATGTTAACAAAAAAGAACATACTTCTCGCTTTTGTTTTTACGAGACGGGAAGCATGTTTAAAAAAAACGTCATTATAAAATAGTACATAAAAAAGTTTTGGATTTTTATATCAAAGAGGTTTATTATTATTGTTTTATTGTCATAAACTTGTAAAGCATAAAAATTTATAAAAGCGCAAGAGCGTAAAAGTATTATTAGTTGCTTCAAATAATCCCTCAATCAGAAAAAAAAAAAAAAGAGAAAAAAAAAGTAAGAAACACATATAATATAGGGGTTTGTAGTTTATGCATAGTCTGTTTATTGGCACTTTCTACGGTAGCCATTCTTTTTCCTGTTCCCAAAGACCAAAAAAATTATATATACTGTATATACCAAGCCCCCCTCATCCCATTCCCCTCCAATTTTGTTATTGTTATTATAAAAAAGCTTTTATTCTTTTGGTTTTTTTTCTTTCTTGGTTCTCTACAGAGAATACCTAAAATATCTGCGTTTATTCTTTTCTTTTCATAGTCTTATATTATTTCGACTCTTATTTTTTTATATTTCTTTATTTCTTTCCTCTTTGCTTTTTAAAATCTTTTTATTTGTGTAGAAAAAAAAAGTTTCTTTCAACAGAAATTTGCAAACAAAATCTCTAACAAAAAAATTAATAAAACTGTGCTTTTATTTTCCACTTTTTTCTTTGTCATTCTAACCCATCCATGTACATATACATATCTATTCATCCATCCATCCATCCATCTATCCTTACATACCTAGCCGTATTATCTATCTAATCAATTACCGTAACATCATCTAACACATTATACCATCTATCCATTATATTCAACACAATCGATCCGATCCTCTTCATCAATGTTATACCACAACGCCCTGAATCTTTGTATGTCTCTCCAAAGCTATGTCCCTTTGCCATGGCAGGAATCTGTAGATACGGCGACAGATGTCGCAATCTACATGGATTGTCATGTCCCAAATGTCGCAAGCTGGTCTTACATCCGCGAGGGTCTGTCGAGGAACATCAAGGTATGGAGACGTCGGGGTAGTGGTTTTGTTATGGTTTAGCAATCTGCGAAGAAGTCTAGATTGGTTTATATATTGATTATCTTTCAATATTCTAGCACATATATCAAGTTGTAACCCGATTCCTCAGGAAGATATCGAGTGTGGAATATGCTACGAAAGAGTACTCTCTAAACCCGATGCACGTTTCGGTCTTTTGAGTAAGCATTAATCGCAGAATTTACATTTTTGCTACGTTTATTTATAATACTGATTGTACGCAAATTGTTTTTGTTTTCTTACCAGACTGTGATCATGCATTCTGTCTATCATGTATCCGTCAATGGCGAAGCAATAACACCATGAACAATCAGGTCATCCGATCATGTCCGGTTTGTAGAGTAAATACGTATTTCGTGACTCCTAGTATGTGCTGGATCAGCGAACGGGAAGAAAAGAAGAGAGTTGTTGAAGAATACAAGCGGAAGTGTAGGTAGGTTTTAATGCGCGCATAGTAAGAAAAAAAGGGAAAGATGAAACGGGAGTGGGAATGGGATATTGTATCTATCTTTCTCGTACAGACGCGATTCTATAACAATCTTGATTCTTTTACCTTTTATTCTTCACGCATCTCTGTTGTCTGCAATTGTGCTTCCGATACTTTTGCCAATCTCGCAACTTCAGTACAATTCCGTGTAAGCACTTCAATTATGGCAACGGTCAGTGTCCGTTCGGTACATCCTGCTTTTACGCACACACGTACCCGGACGGCCGAAAAGAAGAAACACGTATCAGAACTGTTTGCAATGGCGAGGAAGTAAAAGTAATAAACAAAGTGCGGCTGTGGGATTTTGTCGAGAATTGGGCGCAAGGACAGTATTATGAGCGGCACGGTACCGAACAAGATAGACCCGGAGAGGACGATGTTGAGTGGACCGGAAATGAAGGTGAAGATGGAGAGGATGAGACGGATGGACTGAACGCTGACGAAGATAACGAGGCTAACGAGGTTGAAAGCGATGGTCGGGCGAACGTGAATAGTTCAAGTAGTGGAGGACGTCCGCTGAATCCATATTTGCCAGAGTTTGTTCCGCTTAATCGAGAGGGGGGACCGTGAACGAGTTCTTGTGCCAGCCTAATTTAGAAGTTTGTCTCTTTCTATTTTTCGTTGTTAGCATAGATATTTGATATGACATGATAATGAGTTCAATTGTATACACATCTAATAAAACAAAAGCCATATCAAATTCATTCTTGTTTTTACATTTACTTTTTAGTGTTGATGAAATCTGATTTATTAGTCTCTGCTCACGTTATTTTGCCTGTTAGCCAAGAAGTATATTAATGCATCCTTCCCAAGAACATTAAATCTTCATGGTAGCGAGAGACTTCCCGGGTTAGGGGATGGGGCATTCCATATAATAATACATATAGACCCACCTTAGGATCTATAACAGGTTATAAGTAATTTACAAAGTAAGAATTCCCTATTTCACCTTCATTCACAGAATATCTTGTAAAGAATATGTATCAGCATACCCACATGTAAATACATAACAGGGAGATTAATAAGAATGAAGCCCTTGATATATTAAATATCCCCCGAAAAAAAAATAAATGTGGAAAAAAGAAAGGACACAATTCCTCGTCAACAATCCTTACTAATATCTTCTATATTAACAATATCGTGATCACTACTTTCTGTCCATGTAACCGACGACCTCCCTAATGGCGATGTAACGATTGGCGGTGGGGATCTCAACAACTGAGACTCTGAACCTGCAGATCCGTTTCTAATGTGCGATTGTGAAGCCGGTGCTGGGGATGTTAAATCCGTTGTGATGACATCCGTTACGACATCTTGTTTTGGTTTTATCTTTGCATTAAAACAACCGCAAGCTATGACGACTAGCACCATAGTGTTGAGAATGAATACTGTCATAATACCGCCGCTGGCGTAGATTTTACTGACTGAAAGGTTGTTTATGATGCGTTCGTGGAAACAGGCAAAGCTTATGAGAAGCGAACCCAATAAGAGAAGGCTGATTACAAATATAATGTGGAGGAATTTCATCTGGTGGGGGATATAAAGAGATACGATGTGAGTCACTATAGGTAGAAAGTGAGGAGAGGCTACTGATAATCGTTTGGGAAGTAAAGACTCGCGATGTGCAAATCTTATCTCCCAACGTTGATTCATAAACACCCGACTAAACTAACACTATTTTAAACAGTTGCTTCACATACCCTACCCCTCTCTCTTCCTTCCCTCCCATTGAATTTCTTACCTTCAAAACACTCAATTTTAGTGTACGATGTTTTGCTTCCAATTCCTTTCCACGAGGACCAAACTCACTAAATGTCCATCCTTTCTTTTTCTTATCAGCTCCGCTTGCCCGACTCATAGCTTTCAACAAGTAACTTCCCTCGCTCGCGATTTCTGTCAGTTTGTTTCCGTATATAATATACGCTATAGCGATTAATAACACAAAGATACCACATGCTCCATATTGAATGGCATATAATATGGATAGATATTTGTCTACGTTGCTTTGTCCAGAAGATGATGACTCCAGATTTTGTTTTTCCGTAAGAAAATATCCAGTTAGCGAGGCTGTGACTATATTAAAAACCAAAGCGGCGACGACGAAGATGACGTAAGCGACCATTACAGCACGGATAGTGGGGAGATGGAGAGAGAGTTTGTGAGATGGGGATTGGCGGTAAAAGTGCATCCGAGGGATCGTTCGTAGTACTCCAGCAAGATATGTAGCCACTGCGACTGACCCAAGGTACCAGGATATATAATCCATCATTGAGCGTGCGATCCATTGCGAATCGAGCAAGTTATAAAGCAGGATCACAGAAATGGCTACGCGAGCTACGAATAGTATTACAAATGATGGGATGAGCAATACGTACAAGTAATTTGTATCCACATCATATCTCATCTCTTTGTCATACTTACATGCGTTAAAGAATATCTGAGTGAACAAAAAACCTTCCATTGCCAGAAATCCGTTTACAGTGAATAATCGACTTCCAGGCTTGTTATGTAATTTCCATATTAACAGCCCTATCGATAACGGAATATTGCATAGACATAGACATGCGGTGACGGTGTGTACCATCCGGAAATAATCTGAACCACCGCAATTTGTGATATTTAGAACCCATCTAATAGATAAGTTGAACACGTGATAAGTTAAGCATTATTGTGTTAACGAAACGATTACTGATTATAAAGAATGCATGTCTTTCTCAATGCTTGAGGTTGATATATTACAAACTGGATTTCAAGCTTGAGAGATTGACTTGATTTTCCAAAAAGCACGATTAAACTTTTACTTACTGGCAATTTTGATACGTCTCGGACGTGCTATTATATGTTGCATTCTGTGTTTCGTTGCTCGATAAGTTCATCCTCTACCACTCCCTTTGATGTGTAAGTGCTTTTAAAGCGGAGGAAACGTATGCAAGGGTCGTCCAGTTTGTATACAATGTATTCTATTGCGAATTATTTGTGGCTGTTATCCAACTGTAAGAAGCCTCCCTGTTATATTCTGATTGATATCCCTTAACCCAATCGTTGATGTCACTCCACCTTGGTTATTTAGTGGGAAGGTTTATAAGTTTGGGGGAGGCGGGACGACTTAGTATTATATATATGGAAGATAAATTAAATATGCAATGCCCGGAATTATTATGGAGTTGAGATGAGGGGTTAATATATTTACAATGTATATATTGTGATACAATAAAATCACTATTGTCTCCATTGTCTACGCTTGTTATACCCGCGTATGTTACACGTGGCTTGGACATACGTTCATAAACATACTTAATACTTCATTTTTTTTTAGAGAGTGAGTACAAAGAAAGCGGCGGTCTGTTTACATGCAATCCAAATTAGATGGCGTAATAGAGTGCTAATTGAGCAAAAAAAAAAAAGCTTTGCCATTTTCATTTACCAATCTGCATCGACATCTCCCCCTTCATTTATTTTTGCGAACCCAAATGTTTTATTGGTCAACACGGCCCGGCAAAGTCAGAAATGTCAACATGCAATACGGATACCATTGCAATTTTAGGTTTGGTTGCAGACTGCGTAGTAACAATAGAATGTATCAATATTGGCGAACGATTGTGTCTTTGATGCTCAGCAGCGAAACCGTCTGCCCGAGAGCCCAATGTAACACAGGATTTATATAGCCGACGATCGCAACAGTTTTATGATTTGCTAAATCGATAATAATAAATGGAATTTAATTTTGACGATCAATTTCATATGATCAGGCGACAAGGGCCTTAGCTCATTTTGATTAACAAAAGTAAAAAGTAAGGTGAAACAAGGTAAAGCTTGGCGTTTGCACGTAATTTAAATTTGTTTTGTATGCGATATTAGGTTTGCTTTTTAATTGTATTGACCTCAACTAGTGCTAAAAAAGAATACACTACTCCATCACAAGTTTGATAATAAAAAAAAGGCATCGCACCAACGAAAACATTTGATGCGCCAGAAGACTATGAAGAAAATTTGTTGTTCCATTTAGAATTTTACCAACATGTGCCGAGAGTTAATATGGCTTAATAAGTTAATATCTCCAATTTCCAGATTCGATATCTCCTGACCAGTAAAGTCAAAATGTAGAAAGCGCAATGAGGGAGAAAAATTACCGTATCGACAAATTGGATTAGAATGTGTCTATGATCCAATCTGATTACTCCGTTGGTTTAATAAAGCATATTCTAGGACGTGTAGTAAGAAGTTTCCGTCAAAAGAATAGTGTTAAGGAACAAACGAATAACGAACGCCAAATCTTTATAGAGTCACTGTCAGTTTATTTTAAGCCACTAAATCTTTTATCATAACCAATCGTACTATACAAACGCAGTGTGGATCGCCGCAATGTGAGCTGAGCGAACTCTTCTTTGTACCTCAAATGGAAATTAGTATCGCTCCCATTATTTATGCTCTGCATATTAATTATATCAAGAAATTACTGTGTTTTGAAAATACAACCCAATGTTTTACTGTAAGAAATTCAGCTTGAAATAAAACCGACCTTTTTCGCTTGTCAATTTTCTATCGTTGACGATAGATAACTTTGCTGAAAAGAAGTCACATCATAACAAGAGTCATATTTGTCTTTTATACATTAAACCTGGTCTGTCGTTCCTTGTACCTGGACTAGAAAAAGTCTGCAATGCATGCTTGAAAAGGTTTCAATTATCGCAACGTTTTAATTTCCTACGTCAACTAAGTAGTGTACTTCATTTCTAAAAAGCTCCGAATTTATGAATGCGCAACAGCTCTGTTGACATGTTATCTTTAATGTTCTCGGTGTTTCTTTATAAACGATAAGTTTGTTTAATATAACTAGATGCATTTCTCTCTCTTTAAAATGCAACGTTACAATTAAGCAAAAAGCAATGATCGACACCTCGGCGATTACATGACTGTGCAGCGGAGTCAATGTTCTCATATCATGTCATGATCACGTGCACAATATATAGATTCGTTGTACGATTTTCTTTTTTAACACGGAGGTTGTATTGTTACAAGATCAGCACAATGTCCGATGGGCTGCTATTCCTGTCACTCGCTATTCCTGTCACTCTTTTGATCGGGAACAGTGTACGAATGGTATCACAAAATGCAATCTACTAATTTCCTGCCAACTTGAGGTTTCTAAATTTGAATGTCCTTTTGTGCTATCCCTCTTCTAGTAATCAAGCCATTACGACAACATCGATCTTGTGATTTAAACTTAAAACGTTAATTAATGTCATACACATGCTTACCTTTTTGACAGAGAGGTAGGTCATCGAGAAAGTTGAAACGATTATTCGTTTGTTTCCCACTGCGATTGCGATGCTTTTTTCAGATCTCAAAAGAGGTTTTGTAATATGGCAAGTCTTTTTGTCTAGAATTACACGCTGCTTGGATCGTCCTTCTGTTCGATAGAACTGCTATATTGTTATCTTCATATGCGTACAAATAAATAAGTATAATATGATTTTAACAATCATCGTTAAATTAAAGTACGACATCATGTTTAAATCATTGTATCATTGAATCATGAGTTTAATTAGAGTACTGCAGGCAATTGCACTACTATTGTGCTGCAAGATTAAGACTTGTCTTTTCGTCTTTTTATGGTTTGGGTTCTCAAATAATGATTTTACCAATGATCGAATCTTCCACATGCTTTCAAATAATACTCTTTTCCGTATGCAATGTTACTATTGTACGCATAAACGCCCGATCTCAGTCTCTCATCTTTAATTATTATTACGTTACATAAACGGATATTCTTTTACTCTGTTCGCAAGATAAACGCCTCTTCATCCCTTATATTTGCTTTACAATACTAAACTGGCACAAGTGTCGTATACTACCGTACCGGCTAGCCGCCAGTTAAGTTGTCTATTATTGATGCTCGTTGAAAGCCGGCAGCTTCATGATATCCAAGTCTCGACCGACATTATGATATGCACTTGGTCACATTCGTGTCGTAGATAATCCCAATGCTTTCTTCGTTTTTGCATATCTTTAACCCAACAGTTATCCATAACCCAAGGACACAGTTCCGGTTTGAATGGTAATGTCCCAACAGTAAGAAGTTTGTACTGTTTCCATATTCGAGGAACACATCTGCGTAATATTTCGAAAAATCATAGGATTATTCCATATCTTTATACAATCGTAATCCCGCAGTATGGTAAAGTTGGTCATAGCGTAGCTTGGCGATAGGTTGTAGTGCGTGAGTCCATATTATTTTCGTATTTACTCTTTACAACCTATGCTTAGTATTACGAAGGCTTGTGCTATACTTATTATCTCATAGTTCTGAAAGACTTGGTAGTTATAACTTTATTAATTCGAGAGCAGGCAATCCGTTTTGTTGAAATGCACATGTACCGGTTATAGCTGTATTCTTGTCTGTTATTGGGTTTATTGCATTATTAGTATCAATGATGGAAAGATTTATAATGAGCATCAAATAAACGACATACGCAATCAAAGCAACTTTTACATTCATTAATATCATCCACTCTGCACGCTTGCAGTCTGTTCATGTTACTTACTTGCATGGTTATTGTGGGTATACCAATCGAAATAAAAGATGTACAACATCAATTGGAAGATATTCTCTTTTAAATAATAGAAAAACAGGACAAAAATAAATTGAAAAAAAAAAACGGAGGGAAGGGCGGCCTGAAAAAAAAAAGAGCAAGATTTATGGTTTAATTTTAATCTTTATAAACTAAACCAATAAATCAACTAGATTTCGTGATGTAATTTTACTAAATTGTTTCTAAAGGAAAATCGGGAATTTGGATGTCAAATACTTTATTAGACTTATTATTATCTTTATTGCAAACAGATAGTTCGTGTCGCAAACCCTGTTCTACTTTTTAATTATAAGGAATTTTCAGATTTGATTTCTCTGGAAAAGGCGAAGTTTCGAGAGTCTGACCAATCTTTTCATTGTGATTAAGAAGTAATGGAGGGGAAATCAGTTTTTTGGAGAAGTGTCTTGTCTTCTTGAAGACATTTCTTGATCTCGGAGTTTCTTTTCTTTAATAATTTCTTCACCTTACGTTTTGTATCCAGGAATTCATCGATCTCCTCGTCTTCCAGTGATTTAGAAGCCAGAATTTGAAGCAATATCAGATATATCAGAATTCGATGTACAAGAAGCTCGACTGCATCACTGATATTAGCCGAAGATTGTTCTTTTGGGACGAATGTATTGGTTTCTCTGGTATCATCTAATTTAGATGTGAGAACATCCTCACTTCGAGAAATAATAAAGTTACTTTTTTCTTTAGATATGATAGTATCCCCACTCCGTGAGTCATTTTGTGATACCATTTGTTCCAATAGACTATCCACATAACATTTTTACTTTAGTGTACTATTCAGAATCGGATAACGGATCTTCAGCCTTCAATCCTCGTCGGGCGCGCGTCAAATATATTAAAAAGAAAATGTTAGTATTACTTATTCTACACGGATTAACAATAAATGAACCATTTACCGATTTTTCCTCGCCTCTTATCACTAGCCTTATCAGGTATCTCGGGTTGACTTTTTTTTGGTTTGGTAAGTCGGATCCGAAAGTTCGAATCTTGCGCATTATTCAAGCCTTGATGAAAGATAGTAAGATCACTATGAATGGGAGTGGAGTCGTGCTGATGGTGGAAAAAGGTTCCATGAATAAAGTAAACGATGCTGTGCCTTATCCCTCGAGTTACTGGGAAATTCCGTGCAATAAAAAACGCGATAAAAACGCAACGATTTGTCCCGGACAAAGTGGAACAATAATCTGGAGTTGCGGAAGCACAGTTTACCTCCCTCGAAATTACCTAAAGCGACCAAGAAACATAAGGAACTTGGTTCGTCGTGCTCATCCCAGTGATAATCACTGATCTAATCGCGGAAGGCCAAGATAAATTTCTCAACTTCATGTACATCTCCCCGTAATTATCATAAAGGAACCGGTTGACAGTATCTGATAATGGTTTGAGGTTTAGAAGTAGATTATTTACACATTACTGGTGATCGATGTTGTGAGAGCTGGCAGTATTCGAGCTGGTATAGGGAAGAGGTGTACGCGCCAAAGTGCTCGATGAAATTTGACCAGAACTCGTCCTCCGATGCGAAGGATGTTTAGAGTATGATAATAATATTCGTTAACGGCATTGGTTGCTTTCGTCACGGCGTTTTGATCATTAAGATTTTCAAGATGGACTAATACTAAGGTTCGTCTATCCATGTCTGTGATACATTCAGGTTCCGATATATAGTGAATTTGCACCAACCCGTCAAGAGAGCGAAAATTGTTACGAACGGACATGATCAACCTGGCTTTTTTTTTCCGCGTGTTGCGTGCGATAGAGATGGTATGAAAATCTTTATTATCTCGAAAGTTAAGAGAATGTCTGAGCTTACTCCACTTCAATCTAAGGTGGTGCCAAACAAGTTTTCTTTTTATTGGTCCATCAGGTCGTTTTAATCCTAACCACCGACCGAAGACAACCCACAATCGTTTATTAGAATCTGTGATATGTAAGTTATCATTCTTTTCTACTCCATTAATAATATCAGTGTCTACAAGTGAAAAAAAATCTTCGGAAATTTCGGTTGATTCACGTTAGATAATCCTGAATATTGCCCTATAATCCAGTTCTTCCATCGTATAAGCCAAAGATAAACGATGAGATTCAGGATCTTTTCGATTCTGTACCTATTACTAATAACACCATCTACAGCAAATGCGATAAGTTAGATTCGTGGCCACGAAATTAAAAATAATCACCCAATCGGTCTGCACATGCACATTCAGATTCTATCAATTTTAACGCACAGTAGAGTATTGTTTTTGACATTGCATATAGTTAGGGGGTAGCAGAAACCCTCAACATCGTGAGAAAATTTCTTGACAATGTTGCTCTTCCGGGCCGGCGTCCCTAACCAGCAGTATCAAACTCTCTAGCATTTGCTGTAAAATCATCTCTATATGTGGGTTGTAGAAAAGGTTAAATGTGGAATGTACCGACCTGTGGTAAAACTTCCAACACTTTCATTCTTCGTTAGAAATCAGTTAATTTTGTTAATGAGAAATTTACTGCACGTTCTGCTAAGTCTTTAATGAGAAGTAAGGGTTGTAAAGTTGTTCCTTTTCTTGTTAAATAAATTACAGTAGCGGAACATATAGCCTCAAGAGATCCTTCCAAAAAAAGAGCTTCGATTTTTGAAACTAAGTTTGACATGAGTGGTTTGAGTTAAAATATCGCAAGTAAAAAGAAGCGATATACTATCGAAAAAACTTTTCACGGTTGTTCCATAAAAGCATAAATGTACCAACTACAAAGAAATGCCACGAGTTAGTCAATCAGATTTAGAATTTATAGTAACATCCAGTAGGTCACACAATTACATCATGCATAAAAAGTTCCACGCATTAACTCTGGCAAAAGTGATCGACAATCCCGGGAGATACTTTTGGTACTTCCGTACGCAGATCAATATAAAAAGAAATTAATCAGGTTCAATAATTGTTAAAATTGGTGATACAAATAACAGAAGTATTGCTGATGTCAATATGGCAAGAGCAGACAATTATTAATCTAACTAACACGTAAAGCGTGGGGGGGGGGGTCACCCACGACTCTTCTTATTTTGAAAAAAAGGTACTTATGTACCTAAGTCGTCCCTATTGCAAAAAGTTCTGGCAATTTCTGGTCCTTTCCAGTCCAAGTCTATAAATAAATTCTGATCTGTGTTTTTTTATATAAAAGGGCGAAGAAAAAATATCCGAGACCCCTTTACTCCTTCGTTATAATAATTAATGGTTTTGGAGAATAAAACATTTAACAATTTTAGCCTTGTGAGCTCCGCTAATAAATCTTACCATCGATAAATAAAAAGATTCATACACTCAAAAAAGTATCTGATTTCTAACGATTAAGGTTGTTTATTTGTTTATATGCTATGACACTTTCCCCGCATTTGTGTATGTATACTACAGTACTAATAGACCAACTTTCACTTATAGATGACATCACTTGCTGTTTTGGGGGGTTTTGGATTTCGCCGGCCTATCGATGTTCGTCGAGAAAATCTCTCATTGGTGCCGCGTTTTATTTTTCACGTATCACCAAGCAAGACATCGACAACAAGCATAATTCTGACCCTTCTGCACATTAATGAAATTCTTGCCAATCGTGATGCCAGGATCTTAACCGAACTCACCGATTACCGTGCCAAATTTAACGCCGAACACTTACCTCACGCGATGAAGACTTTACAGCGGAGGTTCAAAGAATCTTGATAATTATAATGCTAAATACTTTTACTGCGCGGCTTGATGAGATCAAACAAGTTCTTCAAACCTACTATAATAATTTTGGTAAAGTAGTAACCGCAGTCAATAGATCTATCACAATTTTTCAAAGGATACAATAAAGGGTTTTTACAATGGGAAGAAGCGAAAACTTAGAAAAGATTGCTTGGATAGATAGTCATTAACACACTACTGAGTAGCAGGGAAGGAACTGCCAATATATGGGTCAGACTTAACAAGCAGGTGTTTTTATGCCTTTCCTCCTAATTTTTACTTAGCCGACCTTAAACCCTCTCAATATATTCATTTTAAAAAAACACTGACCTTTTAATTATTGTATGAGTGTCGCTGGCTATTATTATTTTTTCTTGGCAAAAGTGATCGGCATGTCACGCATACATGATTTTTATTCACACAAGAAAAAATATCTAATCTATTTTTGCACGTGGAATCTATTTCGGGTGTATTACGAGATAGACGATCTGAGCGATTATATACATAGGGTGTGTAAGTTAATATCGTACACCCGGGGTGTAAGTTAAGTTCGTACACCCGGGGTGTAAGTTAAGTCCGTACACCCCCCCCCCCCACTATACGAACGGGTTAGTGTATAGAGAGCTCAATCAACTTATCAATTGGATATTAAGGACTAGTACCCAGGTCA